CTTTCCCTTAGTATCCACCCTCTGGCGCAGAGACAGAGATAGGGCTAGATGGCCCTGTGGTTTGACCCAGTATGACATTTCTTCTGATGTATAAAAAGAAATGCCAAGTTCCTGTTTTCGCATGGAGATACTTTTTCATATCTGTCTTGAAACACCAAAGTGAAAAGAGCATGCATTTTTTCTTCTACAGAATGTGTTGCACAAATATGGATGATCTACTCTGTGAAAGACCTGTATTTTGCCAATGATAATAAAAGAGCTGCTATTCAAATAGGAAATAATCTAGAATCTTTTTTTTTTTATAAAAGTTTAATTCATTCGTACTTTACATAAGTATTTATAAGCACCTTGTCATTTACTGTCAATTCTAAAAAACAATAGACACTGGAATAGACTCAGTTAACAAAATATGTCAAGACTTATGAACATATGGATCAAGAACTAAGTAAAACACATGGGTATTTTGTACACCAACACCATAACCAGAATCTGGCATTGATTTATTCTAATGTTGCTTTGTTGAGGCCAAAGCTTACATGTCTGTAAACATTAAAATAAACTTTTTACAAACAAACATTTCTTACCCTGAAAGGATATTTGCTGCCTTCTTGTCTTGACCTGTGCTTCAAGATTTGGTGAACAATGTGTTCCCTTAAAACTGTAATGGTGCTTAAAAACTACTTCCAACATTGTGCAAGTTATAAGAAAGGCCATTTGCACATGTGCAGTTTCCTTATATATTCATTTGATCAGTATTTAACTAATGCAACTGTGAAAAACTATACATCTTCAGCAAAACGTTCTGATTTTGGTCCTGTACTTAAAGACCTTCTATAACAGAGTTGTTTACATGGATTTAATTCACAAGCATTTACACAACAAAACCACTATACCAATGTTTCCTGATCTATGCATAAAAAGTATGCCTTCTACTTACACTAAAACATACAAAAAATAAACTACAAAAATCGTTTACACTTGATTTCAGCAAAAAAAGCTTTCTCCAAGAAAAATGATTGTTTTTCCAGCCATCAAAAAAGGAATGCAAGTAAACAATAAATACAATGTGCTTTCTCCATATAGACATATTTACACTTGAGTCTTTGGCTTATGTTTAAATTTCTCTATAAAGAACTTTGTGATCCAGCCATCATTGCACATTAAAACAAAATAAGCCATTTATATATATATTTGCAACACTTGAAACGTATAAAGAATGAATTTTACTATCATTCTGCACTGTGATTTTACTTTAACAATTTATCAAAAGAAAGAAAGGGAAAATTAATACTATATATTCATACATGCAACAGATGGTGGCTCTACTGTAAGTGAGACTGCCACATATACAAACACGGAAAAGTCATAATTTAAGCAAATCTCTTCTGACTCTGGTTTTCATTGAATTTATTTATGTGGCACTAAATGTTGATACTGTATACAGGCATAGAAACAGACTGAGTTCTTCTAATAAGATACACAACTTCATAAGAAAAATACTTTTGCATTTAAAATTTAAAAGTCCCTCTCACTAAAATCTTTCTTCACAGGTTCAAGAACTGTTGTTTAAACAGTTTATTGGGCTTCATATATTTGGTGCACTTTGTCGCATCTGTTCCAACTAAGATGATTCAAGATACTCCAAAGCGACATCATAGCAGAAACGATATTGCTCCTGAAAAGAGAGAAAATTAAACAGTCTAAAATATTAAAGAGGCGACAGATCTATGAGCAATTATATTAATTTCCTACTGTTGTGCCATTTTACTTAATACAAGTCTCACATGGCTTTTCCTTTTTTTTTTTTTTTTAACTCAGGAGTATGCTGCCAGCTCTGACTGAAAATCTCAGCCTACAAACAAGGGAACTGGCCACGGACAGCAATAAACTAATCATTTCCCAGTGTGGTTTGTTCAGCTTCTGAGTTAGTGACAAAACATGTAGTTTTCATGATCTGTCAGAGCATTTCTGTGGTGCAGAACTTCATCCACTGAAGAACTGATAGCTTACGTTTTTAAGTCTGATGGTATTTAGCAGTTAACCAGCATCAACATCTTATTACCACAGCAGGGAAATATTTAACTGTGGTGCTGAACTGCATCAGGCCTAAAGCCAGTTTTTGCAGTTGTGATAATGTAATGTCAAATAGATCAGAAGGCTCATTTAAATGAGGAGATAAGCAAGTACAGCTATGCAAACTGACTGTACCAAGTGTTTATCCTTTAACTAGGTTACTGTTCAATGTCAATACTTTGAGGGCGGGGGGTCAATAAAAGGGAAGGAAGTAGATTCCATTCCATAACCCTTTAAAGCTAAACAAAATGAACCTGCGCGCACGATTTACTGTAGTTTGCAAAGTAAGTCAGTACAATCCATTAGCAGGAAGTGGTGGGGATAACTTTAAGGTTCAGTTCTGCTGTTCATTTTTGTTATCTGATCATCTTGCTGAATGTAGGGCAGATGACAATGTTACATTGGTTTTCCTGGTTTGTTTTCTTACTAACGACTCAACAGCTGCTACCTTTGTTCAAGAGTTCTGAATAAAAACCCACACGGCACAACACCACAGAAACACATACCTACGGAAATTCAGTAACCTGCAAATTGAAACTGCACTGGAATTCGGGGCTATCTTAAACCTAACAATAAATATTCAGATCATTTCCAGAATCACACACAATATACACTGGGGTCTCTTTTTACAGTAGCACGTGTAATTTTCCATGTGATCTAAGGTGCTTTTTTACTCACAGCAGTGAACTAGAATCCATGCAGCAATACAAGCCTCTCTCTCAAAAGTCTACTGCATGGCAAATGAAAAAAAGATAGGGTTGTAGACATTTCTGCAGGATTACTTGATAACACCTGTTAAGATTCTAGCCATTGTTTCATTCGCCTGGTACCAGTGGACAAAAGTCACAAACAATCATTATGTAAATCATGTCACAGAAATATGGCATGCTTACAATATGGTGGTTTTGTTAATGCTGACACCTGCAAAAAGGGCACTCATGGAAAGGAAAACTGCACCTACTTTGTTTATATGCAGGTTCACAGGGTCAAAAGCAATTTTTACTATGCATAAACTTTGAATGTTTTTAATTTCAATTGAGATATCTGAGCATAGTGCTCTAGGCAGCCATCTGGCTGAGAAAAATGTTGGTATTTGTGACACTGTTGGCAGCATCGGAGTCTAATTGCAGAAATGCCAAACTAATTTCTAACCTGCTTTCGTATTTAGCCCTCCTTAAGGAAAACTAATCATGAAGGACTGATTTGTTTTTCCAAAGGATTTCACATCCAGCTTTTAATTTTAGGGGTAGAAGGAATAATGTTAAAGCTGCACTGGGAAAACAAAAGACTGATCTTTAAGTTAGGCATTAGCCTATAAGGTGCGTTATTACCTTCCTTTCTGCTTGATTTCCAATTAACATGACTAGCTACCTCTCTCTGCTAATAATAATTCAAACAGCAAAAGGAAATAATCATTACAATATCATTTGACTCCTCTCAGGAGCCAGTGTCACAGATGAGCATATCTCACTGGGCAGCTGAGACCCAGATACAGCAGCTACAATTAAAAAAATACAGTGTTTTGTATTTATATATATATTTTTCCTATTTATTAACTTTTGGAATAGCCTGTGTGAGTGAAATAAAATGAAATTTTCTCTAAATATACTGTGTTATCTTGAGAGATTACAGTATACCCATATTGTACAGAATATTTGCCTTTAAAAGTATTAGGTAATAATGCTAGGAGAGCAGTGGCCTTCCGAAATATACAACCCAGCCTTTTATGATGCAATGAGAGCAAACAATAAGCTTCCCAAGTCCAGGATGTATCATTTCCTAATGCTCCACTAATCCAGGATGTTGAACTCAGTGGTAGAATTCCACTGTGGCAGATAGAGCTGGTTGTTCATAGACCCAGTAACATATCCAGGGAGGGATCCAGTATGACAGCTCCTTGGGGAGTCTGTGGTGATGCAGGAGCCCTGTGCTACAGCTACAGCAACAGGAGCTAAATGCAGGGACACTGTGCCATTTCTTTAGCAGCAATGACAGGGTGTGCAGATCCCCCAGCAGCAGCCAGGGACTTTCAGTCCCTGGGGCACGTGAAGACAGGTCCCCCTCCCTAGTTATGCCTCTGCACAGACCCACCTCAGTATGGCTCCAGATGGGTGGTCAGATAAAATGAAGAAAGCTTTGCTTGCTCTCACAGACGAATTCTGATATGAATTGTGTTGCACTGTGAGCACAGCAGAAAGGATCTCGCACTTAGATAACACCACTGAAACAATGAACAATCCCCTGAATCACAAGTGAGAGTGAGTGATCCCAAGTGAGCATATCCACACAGACTGCATATTTTTCACCTTGTTCTCTAGCTGCATGAATGCAGTTCAACATGCTCTAACTTACCGGGGTTTCTACCATGTTTGGCTTACTGTTCCGTAAAGTCTTTACTGCGTGGAAAACATCAACCACACTTTGCCTTTTGACCATTTCAACAACTATGCCTATGGCACAGAACATCCCACTTCGACCACCACCGTTCCTGAAAGCAGATAAAACAACAGAGCTAATGCACCTCTGGTACATACACATTTATCAGTCACACTAATCTGAACTTCTTTAGTTTTGTCAGGTTTTGTGTAGGGTGAGTCCCAATTCTTTTGCACTCCAGTGAATGTGATGTGAAACATTCAACTTTACTGATACAATGATGCTCCTCCTAATCATTTCCTCCACATGTTGGTGCTTTATAACCCATTATGTAGCCTAGCTCTGTTATAATACAGCTTAAATGGGCGGTAGAAATTAAAAGCAAGTGCTATGAATATAAAGTAGAACATTTTTCCATTTGTCTCGTCTAACAGGAATAAAGTGTGATGTATCTTTGATTTGATCTCTGGTTAACCTTCAGATAAACCACTAATTTGATTTAATATGATTTCAAAAGGTTTGCAGATGTGCTGTTTTTCGCTTAAATTTAAATTACACAAAATTCCAAAATTCTATGGACACTGTACTGGTGACCCACAATGCTGTTACAGTTAAGCATCAAAAAGTATCTCTTTGAGCATCTAATTAGAAATCTCTTTGTATGCATTTTATAACATTTAAAATAATATAGCTTTTAATAAAAGCTAAAATTTAAGCTTTAATTTGAAACATGGTACAAAATAGATTAATCATATTCTAGTCACAGAGGGTGCATCTACACATATAAATAATGTGATGTGATACACTCCAAAACTATCTTTGCTGCTCAGAGTCAAGTGCTCCTGGGTGCAGCGTCTGCATGTCCTCTCAGGACAACAGCAGTTTGAGTTGGGGTAGAGCAGCCCTGGGCTAGCAGCAAGCTTGGGTTAGCCCCTGGCTCTGAGCTGAGATGTTATGCGGCAGAGGGGCTGTCTGGGGCACGAAAGTGCTAAAGTGTGAAGCCACACAGCAGGCAGGCCCTGAACATTAGCACTCTCATGCCCCAGCCAACCCCTGTCACCGTCTACACACGTGTTTCGGTGGAGTAAATAACTGCGCCATAAGTCAGTACTATCCCTGATAATACTATGTTATGGTGGAGTTAATTAATTTGCTGTACCCTATTATGGGTGCACATGTAGACAGTAACACTTTACTGAGGGGCTAATTAGTCAATGCTGCAGTAAAGTGCACATATAGATGCACCCTAAATGTACAAAAAGAACGATTATATTGACTTTTTCCCCTGAAAGTAACTTTTTAATGGTGGTGTTGAGGTGCTATTTTTACGTGATGGTCCAGGAAATGTGAGACATGAATTCTTGTGGGTCATATCTTTTACTGGGCAAACTGCATGGTTGGGAATAGACACAGTACCTGAAATACCTGAAAGCTTGCCTATCTCAACCAAGTAGTTGGTCCAATAAAAGATTGGTGACACTGAATTCTTACATCTTTTTTTTTTAAATGAACTTCTTACTCTTATACATGTGATGAACTTAAGTGTTTTATCCCCTTTTTAAATTGTAGCACTAAGAAATGAAGGTACTTTTTCCTACATCATATTCCTGCATCATTATGACAGATATGCTCTACGAAGTCCTTCAACTTCACAAACGCATATTCTTTGTCCATGATGATACCAAGTCCTGCAATCATGTTGGAGAACTATGCCATGTATATATGAAAAGCTATAAATACTCTATTGCCACTTGGTACAAAGGAGTTTCCTTCTGGAATAATTCAACAGTGCAATGGTACTGGATCAGAAGACACTGGAGTACTCTTATAGTTGCCTAGAAAAAAACTGCCATTACATGTAAATGGAGAATATAAGCAACTCTGAGAAGCTCTAGGAAAAGAATATGCATCTAACAGATAAGATTCAAACTACCATGATACCAAGGCTCTTGTCTAGAAAAACCCGGGTGTGAGTGAAAAGTAATAAAAGTGACAAAATGAAGGAAGAGTAAGAAAAACGACATGTGCAGAAGGAAGTGTGGGGTTGAATTTAAATTAAAAAACTGGATTCTAAACAACAGTTAGAGTTGGTGCCATGTACCCAGCTGGCTTTAAAGAAATTACTCACAGACAGTGAATGATCATCCGGCCCTCCCCTTCTTCACATTCCTCTTGCCATTTTTCAACCTGGAGAATTAGCTTCAAGAATGAACGTTTGGAAGCTGGTACATCTCTGTGAGAAGTCCATCCCAAATATTGGAACTGCTGCACCATCAGATAGCCTTCCTGGGGCTAAGAGAAGACAAACAACTTCATGTTAACAAGGCATCTATAGAACTGAGTTCAGGAAACCAAACAGACCAAATGTGGAACCCAATGAGAAACAGTACACATTATGGCAAATGCCATTCCACACATGTGCAGAGCTGAGTATGCCTACAAAGCAAAAGTGTAAGGGTCCCACTGCAGCAGAAGCAGGTTACAGAAGAAAATGGTCTGGAGTAATTTCTGTCAGAATGAGACAAAGTTTGTTGGGCCATTATTTTTTTCAATGCCACAGTTGTTATAGGGGTATATCTCTGGGTTCTAAAAGAAAAATCTGTTTTTTTTTAATTAATTCTGAACGGCCCTCTGCATAGTCAAATCATGGGATTTCTGGACCTTATAGAAAAACAGAAGTGGCCACACACTTCCATCTGTAGTTCTTACCCAAATAAACTATTTTGTTATAAATTATGAATTCTTTTGGCTCAAATATGAACGGTCACAGCCTTTTCCCATTTTGCCAGCCCATCACATTTGGATGGTCCTGGTATAACTCTCTGACCCATTTCCACACTAGACTTGAGATAGGAAGAGTGCTGGGTTGGGCTTAAAATATCTCAAGCAGCTCTGCTCTGCCTCGCTGCCCTGAAGAATAACCTACTCTGTCTGGCTTCCTGTAGCAGGGGCAGGCTTAGAAGAAAAGAGATGTGAGAAAGAAAGTGTCAAAAGCAAGACCTAAAGGAAATAAGGGAACAGAAAGGAACAAAACATGTTAAAAGCCAAAACACAGAAGCAGAAAGAAGAAAATGAGACTAAAATGAGAACTGAATGAAAGAAAGAAAGAAGGACACTAGAAGACAGAGGATTATAATTGTTTGTAGGTGTTCTTTTGCTTAACAGTACTGTATTTCCCTGAAGGAGAATAAGAAATGGGGATGAAAACATTTTACTTAAGACTCATCACAATCTGAGTGTGGGGGTTTGGATAAAAAATGGCCAAAATCTAAACTAGGTCTGAGTTCAGGGTTTAAAAAAAAAACGCAACAAAAAAGTCTTTGCAAAAACAATAACATAACATATTTCCCTTCAATGTTTTAATATTCAAGAAAGGTGAAGAGATATGCTAGAGACACAGCTCACTGTATTCAGAGCTTGATGGTTAAATACAAGACAGAACAAGTGAGGGGAATCAACCAGGAATAGTTACAAAGGTACGAAACCTGTTGGTAAATACAACATTTTTTTTCACTTAGTTCTTGTCCGCAACATGGCAGAAGTGAGCTTTCAGTGATCTCAAGGAGGAGCTGGTAGCTAGCTAAAAGGGTTTGAGAGGACATCAAAACAACAGAGGAGAGGATAGCATAGCAAAATGCTTGACTGGGTGAAGGAAATGAAACTGCATTGTTAGTGGAGCTGTAAGGAACAATAAAAATGAAGATCAGGGAAAAGTGGTGCAAACCTTAAAGCCAGCCTAATCTGAAAAGGCTTTTCACACAGGCTTTGCAGACTGTCAATTTGTCTGCTTCATTTTGTAGCCCATACACTTCAGAGGTGGTAACTATATACTATATTTACCCAAATCCAAGGCAACACTGAATTTAAAATGAACCCCACCCTCCCTGAACACCAATAATTAGATTCCATCTAATTTATAATTTTCCATGGATTTATTTATAATAATTCCATGGGATTATTATGAAATCTATACTTTTCCATGGATAGAATCTAATTAGTTGAGGGTCATCTTAAATTTGTCCTCCCACAGCTATGGCTAGAAAAGCAGCCAGGCCCAGACACCTCCTCCTTACCCTCTTTGCCTCTCCTCCTTGTACCTGGCTGCCCTGCCATTTGCTTCCTGCCATGTTGGAAGCTTGCTGCCTGCTCTCTGCCCCATGCTGCCTGTTCCTTCCCCCTGCTACCTTTCCCCCCTGTCTGTCCCCTGCTGTCAGTGACCGTGCCCCCCACCAGTGCCTGCCCCTCCCCGCAACCTGCCCCTCCAGACCTTTGCATCCCCCATACCTGCCCCCACTACACCCATCCCCCCCATCCCCTGCACCCTTACAAGTGGTGAGAAATTCTATTTGAAACTGCAATAAACCTTTAATCAAGTCTGTGGGAGTGTGCTAATTAGCGTGCTCCAGCCAGCCTCCATGTATTAGCATCCCTGGGCTCCAAATTGGTGGCAGGGCCACTTTAAATAAAGCTCATTTAATGGGGATACATAAGATGCTGCGGGCCCTTTAATTAGAATGGCTCCCCCTCTATCCCCGGAACACATTTAAAATGCTCAGAATGTCTTAAAAACATCACTACTGTATCTTAAATACTATTTAAAATACAAATCCATATATTCACCTAATAGTGTTAACTAGTTAATTACTATTAAAATAATGCTTACTCTTGTTAGATTGCATATCCTGAAAATTCTGTTTATCACATCACAATCCATTGTACAAGACATGCATTCTACTTGAATAGGACCATATCTCAGCATTCCTTCTTCAGGCCAATATTGTGGGCAGCCCTGTACAAGGATAAAGTAGATATAATTAAAATTTAAGTTATATTATCGTATTTGCCTGCAATTGTAATACTTGGTCTTGACAGAACAGCAGTAATATAGTCATTAGCTGTAATTAGCTAATAAAAACCTTCGTCATGGAATATATAGAATGTAATGACATCGTAATTACATGCACTCTATTACCTAGTGAAATCACATTGATTTATTAATTTGTATACCAAACGCCACCCACCCCATGCACCAAGCTAACCTGTGCTAAATCAACTTCATTCAGCATCACAAGAGAGGTGCAGCCATAGTCATACACTAATCTCCAGAAATCTTTCACAGTGTTTGGCAAAGGATGTTGTGTAACTATGAAAGCAGCTGGTTGCCTGTAGCTCTGTAAAGAAAAAATACTTTATCAGTATTATTAAAGAAAGCACAGAATAACTTTCATGCAAATTCTGAAACAGAAATATATTAGACAACCAAAACAAACCACTTAGAAAGCAACATATTTTAAAGTAAGAATGTATTGATCACTGTATTCATGCTTTAAATTTTATTTTAGGCATATGCCCTGTTAAGCTTAAGGTTTTCACACCAATTTGAGGACCTTTTTAAAGACTTTGCTGAACTGAGGCATATATGACATCCACTCATCAGAGTTTTGGATTACTTTATGATACTCAAAAGAGATATTATCCTATTTCAGAGGGGAATACTAAGGTGGAGAAAAATTAACTGATTTACTGGAGCCAGGAAGGTCTCTGACTGAGTTACCCAGATCTTTAGTACTAGTGTCACAGCTCAAATCACAAGACCATCTTTCCTCTACTACCTGATCTTACTCATTTTTCTGTTTTTTAAAGGCTTTTCCTTGATCTGACACCAGGAAGATTTACAAGTTGCCTAGTAACTTTTAAATAGTTTTTTTGGAAACTTTTTTTTTCTCTCTTGGTTGGAGTTGGAGCCAGGCTGTGAGCATTGCAATATTTTCGCCTGTGGAAGAAGTTGACAGGGTACCATCAGGCAGCAACACCACACAATTACAAATCCGGAAGAATACTGCTACACATCAACTGATACACTAATTTAAAATCACAGGTGTCAAACCTGGGTTGGATCCTGTCCGCAGAGCTCCTTATGGGCTTGATATAGACTGCATTGAGCTTTGCAGGCTGAATCAAGACCCACTTCCAGGCTAGGGACAGATATTACACAGAAAACGGTATAAGTGATTGGACACCAGTTCAAATCTGTAACACAACAGTAGTTTAATGCACTAAAACAACTTTAAAAATGGCCAAAACCGGTTTAAGATGGGTGTAGTATCAGACTTAACTGATTTAGGTTAAATAACATTATTGAACTTCTGTTCCAGATCCCCTTCAGCTTCAAGTTAACTCATTGTCTGTCCCCCACATCCCAAGATGCTTTGCATCTCCCCCACAACTCTTCCCCTCCCTACCACAGGGTGGGTGGGCTAGCCTTTGTCAAGCTGTCTTCATCAGCTGAGCAGGTAGGCATGTTCTAGTGCCTCCCCCTCGTCCCAACTTCTGGCCTAGGCCACTGAAAGTGTAAGGCTGCATTTCTGGAATCAAAAGTGAATGTCTCTTCACTTGCTTATTGGTTCAATCTACGCAGCTTAGACTAACCTGCGAAGACTGAACTGATTCAGACTTGGGCTTTCTGACTGCCTGTACTTAGCCCCAGTGATGGGGCAAGCAGCAGCAAGGGGGTTACCGCAGCCTGCTCACTTCACCCCTGAATTTCTGGCATTTCCAGGAGTCCCACGGGCTGGCTGAAATGTTGCTTTTGGGGCAGCAAGCAGCTGATAGGGGAGCTGTGACAGCAACAGCTGACTGGGCTCACTGACAGGCTCCTGTGAGGGTGCGGGGGGAGGGGGTAACTATGGAAAAGCCCCCTATTGCCCCCTGGCTGGAGAGCACAACTTAGTGAGGATTTTGTAGCACACTAGCCAGGGAGCTCACAATGTGTGTATATTCCCATAGACTTCTATTTTTGCAGCTATACAAATGAATGTGTGCACATAGCCATATTCTACTCATACCATCACCCAATTTTCCAAAATTAAACTCATTGCCCAAAGCTGTGCTGGACAGATCCCATAACATAATTTTTGCCCAGGCATTTAATAAAACTATCATTCCAAAGATAAACACTCTCTCTCTCTCACAAACAGTATACGCTATATTGTAATAGCTAGTTTCAAATTCCCACATACAGCCTCAGTGACCTTATGAAAGCCAGGTACAAACCTTCCATTTTTCTGGCATAATAGCTGATTATATTGAGCAACTTTATTTTGTCATTTCAGATATTTCATATATAAACTTAGTTAAAGCTCTTGGATTAACAACATGATATCCTGCTATTTATCAGTTTGTTCCAGTATCTTTCCCTGACACTTCAGTTTTTAACAGTAATTCATTTTTTAAGGAAAAAAAAAGAGCTGTACATACTTAGAAATTAGGCGACTTATCTAGAAGCTTACTGTAAATTCGTATTTAGATGCTTCACTTTAGGAGATGGCTAAATTTGAACATTTTAGTGATGTGTGAGCAAACACACATAGGCATACGATGAGCTGCATTATCACCCATATACTTTTAATTGTCTCAACTCTTCCCTTCTGCCTGCTAAATCATTTTTTACCCTGGGGAATACTGCAATCATTCAAAAACTCCAACTAGCTTTACACAGCTGCAATTCAAAATGGAAAAGCCCCTCTTCCAAAAAACCAAGTAAACAAACAAACAACCCACATACCCCTTGACAGAAATACTTCCTTTTTTCCCTTCCACAACAAATGCAAAATTTCTCTCAAAAAACAGGCAAAGCTCAGATGAACAATATTGCTCTCTGAACCAGAGACAGATTTTAAAGGTTTGGTATCTTGTGGAAATTGGCATTTAGTACTTTAGTAATACTATTAAAAAGATAAGATTTCTAGCTTTCTGGTGGTTCTCACGAGGCCACAAGTCTGAGATATCAGACCTTGTAAAGTAATGACAAAAAAGTTAGCAGATTTTGAAAATACTACCAAGATTTCTCCCTCCCTTCTTTAAGACTGTTTTGCTGAACACTACAGTAAGAAAGAATTACCCTTTCTTTAACCAGCAAGTGCTCTCTCTCATATTACACAGCTTTTCATGGCACGTTATGTAGACAAAGGAGATAGTCTCTTACGTCCATAAGAGCAGCATTGATATAGTTGCTGCTCTCCCCATCAATAGTAATTAAGAAAGGCAGACATCTGTCAGGTGGCAGCGTATCCATGAAGCGATTCTTGTCATGATTCCTTGGCAAGCAGGCTATACTGCAGTCTTCAGCTTGCAGCCGAGGGGTCACAGAATTCAGAGTCTAAAAGACAGAGGGGAAATAATGTCACATTATAATGCATCTTGAACATAATGACCTGGAAATTTACTGCTTTATTAAAAATGTGCACTGTAGAAAGCACAACAAATCTCAGGCAAAGAAAGGCATGTCTCACATTGGGAATCTTGCTGGAGTTTTTCAGTTAAAGTCAATGAGAACTTAAGTGTGAAGAGAAGTACAAACTGGTGAATGCTTCCTTCCACCTACATCCTCCCCAAAAAGGAGGTTGAATAAAGGAAGGAAATAAAGAAGAACCCTATGTATCCCATACGAATTGTGACTCAATTGTTTAAAATGCAATATGATGCCCCATCTAGTTCAAGGTCAGTGTTATGAAACTATGAAACTATTCATTATAGTTCCCAGTCTATTGCAATTACAATCAAAGAAAGTTATTTTATATTTAAAAGCGCCTCTGTAAAGTACGTAATGAAAGACATGGGTGCTGTATTTTGTTGAATATATGAAAGGGACAAAGGTTACGATCTTGATAAGAAAGCCCTTTTCCTTAAAAGGTATTAAATGTACCTAGAGGCAAGGAAGCTGCCATTACATGAAGAGCTAGCAGTAACTGCAAATACCTGGAATTCATCTTTGAGATGTGAAGAGTTTGTTTGAGAGTCTATTCTAATCATATCAAAATATGCAGCTTTGAATTCACAGACAGGGATGGCAGTTTCTCCACACAAGCAGGCTTCTAGAATGGCATCATGAATAAAAATGTACTGCTCCTAACCAAATGAGGAAAAGGAAAAAAAGTTCCAGCAATTTAAAAACAAAATAATATCTTTCCTTCATTTATGATGAGCATATCTTCCTTTCTCTATAAATCTTATTCAAAGCAGCTTCCATCAATCCTTTTTGATATTGCTTTTGCACCTTTAGTAGAGTACATTCTTTATAACTGGAATACAGTTAAATCAAGATGTTTCCCTCAGAACCAATTTAAGCCCAGTGAAATTTAAAAGCTTATGTACAGTAATTTGCTTAATGGGGGACTTTTCAGGTGATTTTGTGGTGCTTGGGTCTGCGTGTATATCAGTGTTATGCTAGTGCTGCTTATTTGCTTCCTTAACAGCAGCTTTAAGCCCTACGATACCTACAAAAATGCATAAATTAATTCAAGCATTGCCTGCTCCTGACAATTACTTGGCATATTCCATGCACCTTATGTCTAATAAGTGGGCGCTGGGCTAGTAATAGCTTTTGCACTATTCCAATGCAGATGATGCTTCCCTTAAATTCTGTTGTCCTGTCCAGTGCTGATTTCAGACCTAGACAATTAATTATTCTTCCATCAGCATCTTCTTTTGATTATTTTACAACTCCTATTGAGAGGTAGTGGCATCACAAAACTGGTAATAAACAAAAGTAGTATGTCTACACAGCAAAACAAAGGGGTGATTGTAGCAAGTGCTATCTATGCTAGCTTAATTTCACCAGCACAAGTGACAATGGCGGGAAAGTGCATCATGGGTGCTGGCAGATGCTAGCAATCAGTGCATATCATCAGGGTCCCTGGAGAGATTGTATTCTGGTTCCTAAGCATACATTCCTAGCACACAGCTTCCTACTTGTTCAAGTTCATGCCGCTGCCTCTTCACTGCTATGCTTACCTGTCCTGACCTACTGGTGCCCATATTCTCTGACCCAAGGAGCTTAAAAAGAAAAGAAAGAGAGTAATGGGAAATTGGGAGAACAAGAGGAAGGGACAACAAAGATGACAGTAAGATTACATGATGACTTGGCAGAGAGGTGGTAAGCCATGTTAGTGTAAAGTCAAGCAGAAGGTAGGGCAGGGCAGCATCTTAGAGACAACTCATTCAGAAAGGCATGAGATTTTATAGGCAAAACAATTTTGTTAATTTTTGTATCTGATGAAGTATGTTGTTGTCTATGAAAGCTCATTCCTCTCTGCACCACTTATTCTCTAGGGCCCCTAACACAAGTTACACTTAAGATGCGATTACCTAGTTAATTGCTTCTAAAATAGTTACCTGGCAACACGTTAGTGCAGTTAATGGCATGATGAAATAAGGAATAAGCCAAAAAAGTTATTATAGAAAATATTTGTAATAACTTTCTGGCTGGTTCCTATCACATCACTAATTGAACACTGTCTTCCCCCAGGGCTGGCAGCCCCATCATCTGATTTGCCCCCATGGCTGGGAGCCCAGATCAGCTGATGGGGCTCCCAGGCATGAGAGCATGTAGTGCACCCCCATGGTTGGGATTCTGAATCAGCTGATGGCTGCCAGCCTCAGAAGCAAATGGTGTACTAGGGCTGGACGATCCATCAATTGATGAGGCTCCCAGCTGCTGGAGCTTGCTTGATTCTGGGTTTTCTCTGCACTGGCAGTAATATGTGATGGGCTCTGATGCTCAATCCCATAATCATGCCTCTTTGCCATGCGTGTTACATGGCAGGAGGTACAATTGTGGGGGTCACATATCAGACTCCACCATGCCTTTAATTTCACATCTGCCAGGGGTGTAACTTGCCACCCTGCTCAACCACAATGACTTTCTCATGGGGGTTCTGATTATAGCTTAGTTATTAGAGTGGTGTTTTTTGGGCTAGACTGCTGAAAAAATATTAAGGGAACTGGTAGAACTGTGAAGATGATGAGGTGATGTAGCAAATGGGGAAG